CCGGCAATTCGGGCTGAAATTGTCAAGCGAGAAGTCTCTGCTGGGACAAACGCGGATCAATTTTTTAGGCCACACTATCTCTAGCGAGGGGGTCAGACCGGATGCGGCAAAGGTGGAGGCAATCACGCGGATGGCGGTACCACGGGACGTCAAGGGGATTCGTAGGCTTCTCGGGACGCTGAATTATTACCGGAGATTCGTACCCGAGATGGCAGAGTATTTGGTACCCATTAACAATTTGTTGAAGAAAGGCGCGAAGATTGTGGTGACACCAGAGATGGAGAATAACATTCGAAAATGTATGAATAGGTTGCTGACGGAGCCGGTGTTAGCGTTCCCGGATTTCGAGAAGCTTTTTAATATAACCACTGATGCGAGTGAATACGCGCTAGGGGCCGTTTTGTCCCAGGGGGGGAGTGAGGGTGAACGACCGATAGCATACGCGAGCCGTCGGCTTACGGGTGCGGAATCAAGGTACAGCGCTTTGGAGAGGGAGCTACTCGCGATAGTATGGGCTATCGACCATTTCAGGCCATACGTATTCGGGAGAAAATTTCGAGTCCATACCGACCACAAACCCCTCCAGTGGGTAGGAAAACTCAAGGAAACCTCAGCTAGGGTCACAAGATGGAAGGAGATCCTAAGCCAATACAACATAGAGGTGGTGTATAAGCCGGGAAAGGAAAACGTGGTGGCAGACTGGCTCTCGAGGGCCATCATGATCAACGCGGTTGAAGAGGACAGGGGAGGACCATCGCAGGACGTGCGCCAATTCTTGAGGGAATGGACTCCCGATGGCGAAGGGGCAAATGACACCGCAGGGATTGAGGACAGGGGAGATTCCCCAGAAGAGGAGAGCTCAGCGGAAGAAAGGGCAGCGGAGATGGAAGAAATAGAGGAGATCGTGAACGACAAACACCGTCAGGTGATTTGGAAGACACGAACAACCGGAATCATGAAGATCGATTTCAGAAGGTACGGGAGAAGTAGGATCCGCGTCATTTGGTCGCAGCCCGGGGTCAGCGAAGAACAAATCTGTACGGCACTGAGGGATGCCTCGGAAGCGGGTAAAACGCACTACCTATACGTAGGAAACAATACGGTATGGGATAAGATCAAGCGAATGTGGAGGTCCGAGCGAATAGGCGTGGACAGGACATTCATCCGGTGCAAGTATGCTGTGGAGACGGTACAGGACGAAGAGCAGCAGCAAGCAATCACAGTAGCATATCACCAGGGGAAAACCAATCACCGAGGCGTTAATGAGACGCTGCAGGCATTGCGTCGGAAGTATTTCTGGTGGGGCATGAAGAGGTCCATCCAGGAAGTCATTGGGAAATGCGAGATATGCATGCGCACAAAATACGATCGACACCCCCCCAGAGGAGTTCAGGAGGAGACACCTACAGGGAATATGCCGCTACAGGACCTTCAGATTGACACGTTTACCTGGAAAGGGTTTAAGTGGGTCACGGTAATCGACATATTCAGCAAGGTGGCGATGGCATACCAAGTGATGGAGAAGTCAGCCAATGCAGTTGCGGAAGCCCTACAAACCTGGGTGCAGTTTTATGGGGTCCCCGAGAGGATTACTTCGGACGGTGGTAGGGAGTTCGACAATGCCGCGATTAGGGAGGAGGTGAAGCGATTGGAAATTGCGTGGCATTATAACACCCCAGGACATCCTAAAGGTAGAGGCGGTATTGAACGGCTGCACAGTACGTTAAGCGACCACGTCCGTGTATATCAGGGTGAAAAAGGGTTGGAGCCGGATGTGGCAATGAGGAAAGCGGTAACAGCCTATAACCACTCGATCCACTCCGTAACGGGGTTTTCACCCATGGAAGTTCTATTCGGGATGCGCAGGCCAAGGCGGGATTATGGGGAAACTACGCTTACCGAACCGTTAGTGGATCAAATTCTCAGCAATAGGGTAGAGGTAGAGAAAACATGGGGAAAGATAACGGCGAGAATTAAGCGGGAAAAGCAGAAGCGGGTGGAAAGGCAGAATGTACAGGTTCGCGACCAAATGGGGGAACTAAAAATAGGAACAATAGTTTACCGGAAATTGGGAACCAACAGAGGGAAACAATTGCTACGGTACGAGGGTCCATTCAGAGTGGTTGTTATTAGGGAGCATAACCTGGTAACTATTGAGAGCGTGAATGAGCCCAGAAAGAGGAGAACCGTTCATATCGAACAATTAAAGCTCCCAATGATAGAGTCGGGACATAGACCTACGGATTCGTAGTACCCTCACCGCTGTATATAAAACAGAGAAATATGTTTTTTTGTGGCTGTCAAAACAAAACAAGTTGTAAAAGATTTTTTTTTGTTGTATTATTTCATGTATAGAGGAAATTGTGTTTTTTTTTTGTTGTTGTTAGGAGTTCTCAAGTGGTAGGAGTTCTAAAGTGCTGTGTTTAGTTTCAGTGTTTTTAATTATTTCTTCTTTATTTATTATTTTTCCAGTTGAGTGGAACTATTTTATTTTCTTTTAAGGATATACTGTAAAACCAATTGTAAAGTGTTAAGGCTGGTCACCGTGGGCTCCGATCTAGCAATATTTAAGTTTCCGAAAATCCTGTTCGTAAACTGGTGGGGGGGAGATAAAGACCGGAGACTGGCGGTATCAGCCTTAATACTATCTGGTAATGTAAATAAACAGGCTAAGTGTATATAAGGAGGCTTATGGAACGAATAAAGCAGTGTTATTTCAGAAGTCGTGTATGTTACATCTTTTCCCTTTTCCTTCTTTTTTTTTATTTCTTAAGTCCGACGACGCTTAACTTATATATATATATATATATTAACTATATCACCCTTAAAATATATATATATATATATATATATATATATATATATATATATATATATTTTAAGGGTGATATAGTTACCAAGAGCTGAAAATAGGTCATACCACCCTTTATATCGACATCATAGGAGCCAAACGAGACATGATTGGTATTGAATTGAAGTCTAAAGTTTCTTTGAATCGACCGGGAAAACTAAATAGGTTTTTTTTTTCAGATCGATGCGCTATAAAGTAAAAAAGATTAAAGAAGGATTTTTCAGAAAAAAATTAATTTATGAAAAATCTATCTTGATAAGTATTTCCTCAAGCACTCTTCCCTCTGATTGATTTTTTTTTCAACGTAACCTACTTTGTGCTATTAATATTTTAAGTAAATGAACTGTAAGATTTAATGTATAGAAAAAAAGTTCAGTTATTACTCCTGAAAGAGCATAAGTTAGTTATCTTTATGACTTAATATTATCATTACTTCGGCCTAATCTCCTCCTTTTCATAAATAACTAGCCATCTAACGAATGTCCTCATTAATCATTAGGAATTACTCGTTAAGTCGCTGATATCAGGCACAAAATCACATTTAAAGCTCAGTTGATATACTCTCAGTAATGGCCGCAAAGCTAATTATGTGTAAGAATTATCGGAAAGTTGGCTGATTCAATGCGAATTCTACAATAAGCAGAAAAATAAATCAAAAAACCAACTGCAGAGAAACATTCAAATCAGAAGTATTTAGATAAGTTTTAAATAACTTTAAGTACGTCAAGAATTTTAAACAACCTTTCAAATAACTTTGTAGAGGAACAATATGCTTTATCAATCGGCCTGCTCTAGATAAATATGCTTCCTATCTTTCTTTTTTTTTAATTTGGTCAATTGCATCAGCAACCTCATTGTTCTGGATTGATGTAGGTATTTAGGCGAAATAACACTTCTTGTCAGATATGAAATCAATCTAAAACAAACAATAACTTTTCTTTCTGAATTAGAAAAAAACGCTGCAAATTATTACACAATGATTAATTATTGCCAAATAGTTATGTATCAAATTATCTTAAGATTCAAGTGTAAATCAAATGAGTATTTATGTTTAGTTATTAATTTAATTAATTAATTTAATGAGAAAACGCCCCAGTACTAAGATTTTCGTAGATAAAAAAAAATTAAGGTTACTATAAGACCACTAGCGGACCCAGGATTTAATTTTGGAGGGAGGCTTCAGCCCGAAAGCTTTTTTTTTCATATATGTAGTGATAATTATTTTGAAAAAAAAGAAAGAAAGTAACTATCTGTATGAAATGGGGTTTAAGTGATTTTTGAAGTCCTATTAAATGTAATCACACGAACAATAATACTTTAAGAGATAGTTTTTAATATTTTTTTTTTAAATGGTCATATTTTACTATTTTGTGGGGGGGAGGAGGCTTCAGCCCGAAAGCCTCCTCCCTCTAAATCCGCCTGTAGATAAGATGAAGGCGTTCACGAAGTTTTAGGTGGATGTTAATAATTTGATAAAAAGGGGTCTGTAACAGGGACTAGAAAGTCAAGTGAATAAAAAAATAAATAAGTTTTTTTTTTTTAATTCTTAGAAAACATTCAAAATTACCAGAATCTACTGTAAGAAGAATCTCATTTCGGCTATGGACTAAATATTAAATTTGTGAAAACGGAAACAATTAATATTAATAATACATCACATCACTTTACCTTTTTATTATTAACAATAATTCAATTTTCTTTCAAATGCGCCTTTACCCACTTGATCCTTCAATTCCTATATTAGTTTTTGGACTAATAAAAATAAAATCGACACAAATTCAAGTGACTTAACCTTAAGTTTTGACTGATGCCCATGCGAAGGATCCTAGAAGAAAAAACAATAATTTATATATATTTTTTAAAAAGTTTCATCATAAATAAATGTCTACGAAATTCTGGCAAATGGATGAAAATTACGAAATATTTGAGGAAGAGAGATTGAAAAACATCGGTTTATAACTACACACTATGAGTAATAAAATTAATAAGTGATTTCAAAAGGAAATTCTCTATCAGGATTATAATTTATTTTTACATGCCAGAAAGTTAATTTTTATCGCAATAGAAACTGAGTCGACCTTCATGACAACTGTGTTTCTTTCATTCTTAGGTTAATCAATTCACTAATTATAATGTATTGTGTTGATAGGTATGGAGTTATCATGTTGGGTGATAGTTGGAGCAATGGTCACTATCTGCCAAGCCCAAAGCGGTATCCTCTACCCACGGGATAGTGAAACCAGGCAAGTCAAATCTTTGGACGGGATATGGAGGTTCCGATCTAGCAATGATTCAGCTCAGGGTTTCAAAGAGACCTGGTTCGCTGAAAGGCTATCCAAGGTAATAACGCATCCTTCTCATATTACAGATAAGGTTGAAATTTCGACAACTGTATATCGTTCTCTTATTTAAAAATATGTTTTTCACTTTGAGAAATGAACTACTGTTTCTGTAATAATATATTGGCAAATAAAATGCACTCAAACACTTTTGAAAAGTATTTTGCTTCCTGGGTTTGATATCACTCCAAATTGTGTTAAGTACGTTTATTAATGAAACTCATTAATTTTTAAGTACTTGATATTATAATGAATATGGGGAAGAGGGATGCTGATGACTGAGCATCTCAGTTATTTTCTATCTCCTAGCTTAAGCAATCAAACTGTGGTAAATAAACTGGTTCCTTCAAGGATTATTTTACATTTTTAAATTAAAATGTGAATTTAGATATAGATATATATTTTCTAAGATACCTTGTTTCATTGTTTAATAAAAGTCACTAAAGGGTGAGGTATCCCCTAGATACTGATAGGTGAACCCCAGGCAAGAGTCCCAATCCCAGAAGTGATCTACTGCTGATATAACTGAATACATAAATTATCTTCCACAGCTGGAGTTAAATGAGGCAGGAGATCATTCAAGATTCCCATCTCTAATCCACAGAGTTACAACTTTTTTTCATTTGCTCCTAATCTTGCCATTTTTGGCCCACGGGGAGAGGAGTATTGTTCTAATGATACAACTAGACCAGTGTACGATGGTCAGGATTCATTGCATGGTTCCGCCACAAAAGAAATTTCAACCTGCCCAGGCCAGAATAGAACAAGCACAGCTAAACTCGAGAATGTCAAAGCATACAATACTTTAACACACTCGGCTATCACGGTTTCTACTTAGCCAATCAATTTTCTCTTTTTAAGCTTTAAAGTAAAGCTGAAATAGGTAAAGCTCCAAAACCTTCCCACGGCTAAATACACCCTATTTTACCTTATTATTATTAATTAATTAATTAATTATTTCTCATAGTGACCTCATATTAATTCTTGTATTTTCAGAGTGGTCCAACTATTCCAATGCCAGTGCCAAGCAGCTACAATGACATAACTGAGGAAAAGGCATTGCGTGAGCATGTAGGAGTGGTCTGGTATGACAGAACTTTCTTTGTACCTCAATCTTGGAAAGACGAACATCTCCGGGTTTGGATCAGGTTTGGCAGTGTCCACTACCTTGCACATGTGGTAAGGTGTCATCAATTCATAAAAAAATAGATAAAGTGCAAAAACCAAATCATTAACTAGCTAGAATATTTTTTGTATTATAACTTCCTCTTTCCACATTCTTAATATTCTCTTTCTAACTTCCAGTGGATCAATGGAAAGCCTGTAGTCTATCATGAAATTGGCCACCTACCATTCCAGCAAGATATAACTGAGGTGCTAAACTATGGAACTGAAAACAGAATAACAGTTGCAGTTGACAATACGCTAACCGCTACTACCGTACCTCAAGGATCATTGGATGATATACAAACGTAAGCTCTATAAAGAGGAACTTTTCTATCAACAATAAAAATTTATATTCTTCTGGTTCTTTTTATCTGTTACAGAATAAATGGAGCAAAAACTGTTCAGAGGTATACGTTTGATTTCTTCAACTATGCTGGAATACACAGATCTGTTCATTTATTTACCACTCCAGATCTCTACATCGAAGATGTTACTGTATATACTGATATAATTGGCTCCAAAGGTAAAAACTTGGTCTTAAAGTGTTGAATGATGTATAATTAAAATGAAAACAACAATTGCGTTAGATTCTTTTGAGTTAATTTTACAATTAAGTATCTATTTCAGTCTCTTTAATCTGTATTTTATTATCTGATTTCGGATCATAGCCGTTTTTTTTAATTTATATATTTCATGTAGCAATCCATATCTGGTCTATATATAGATGCTTTGCAGGAAAATAGGCACTTATATTCCCATAAAAGTAGCTATATATACATTTTTTACTTTACCCTCTGTTTTTCGCTTTCATTGTCAAATATTTGTTTTTTTAAGCAGGTTTATTCAGCTTCTTTTATAAGGTTTAAGTTAGTTTTTCTGTCCTCTCTTTTTTATTTTAAAGGAACTCCCTTTACATTAGACTAATAAGTGGTATAACTTTATATGGATATAACAAATTACAATTTGCACAAAACTTTCCTTTATTTACTCAATTGTCATTCTCCAAGTTGATACACTGTCAACTTTTTTCGTCAGATATGGCACTACTGCTACTAATTTTTGCCTATATGTTATTATTTACTGTTTTATACCATTCAATTATCTTTATCCAAATATTATGAAATCTTGTCTCATAATTAAATCAATATAAGATTAACCAAGTGGAACGAGTAATCTAGTTATCGACACCACAATAACATATCAGATTGCTATCCAACTAACACAATTCTTATAATAAATGTCATTATATTAAAAATAAACTAAAAACCAATTCAAGATCATTAATTGCCAATTTCTTCCCTTATAAAGGTGTATTGATATAGTGTGAAAAAAAAATGAAATATTTGTTCCACAGGAATTGTATATTTCAATGTCAGCTATAGTGGGACCAAAGATAGGAGTTCAGTAAACTGTTGGGTCGATTTGGTTGATGCTGATGGAGCATCTATTGCCAGTACATCAAAAGACGGAATAGAACCAAGTGGCTTCATCGGAAAAATAGAGATTCCTAATGCAAAACTATGGTGGCCTTACATGATGAATCCTCAACCTGGCTACTTGTACACTCTTCAGGTAAATATAAAATTTGATGAAGTAATCTGTTCCCAAATTCAAAAAAACGATTGTCCAGTTTGAAGTAAAGTTGAAGGAGCAGCAAAAATTACTTTTAGTAAGATGTTAAGTAATAAAAGGAATTGAAATTTATAATTAGTTTAGCTATGCAATTCTATCTTAATATCATATAAATTTGTTACCTACTTTGTATATTATATTATAATAAAATAAATAATGTTTTTAGATACGCATCTCAACTTCAACCCAATGGAGCTATAATGTAGAAGATATTTATAGGCAACCAATTGGAATAAGAACAATTCACTGGACAAATTCAAGTCTATTGATCAATAACAAACCAGTTTATTTAAGAGGATTTGGCAGACATGAAGATTCGGATGTAAGTATATGTCCATATTCATTTGCAATATTCAATTTTTTTTATGGAACATTATATAATTAAAGATGGCAAATAAAATAATCACTCTTTTAAAAATTCTCAAAAAGTTTTTTTTTAATTTGTTAAAATTAGATGACAAAGATGACTATCAAGTAAATATATATAATTAAATAATAACACTAAAAATGTATATTAAGTTGATAAATTATATCAACTTTAGAAATCAGTCCATATTTTCGAACGTTGTCCATTCATAAAATATATGACACTAAACATGGTAGCAAACATGCTTCAAATACAACTGTTTTAAAAACTTTACTAATTCTTAGATACCATTATGGTAGGTTCCATGAATAACCTTAAGTACTTTGGTGACACCAGTTCAGTTCTTGATCCCGAGTTTTATAGATATATTAATGACAATAAGTTTTCCAAATTGATTTTCAGCATATCAACATATTCAAGTTTAACTCATTTAACTCACTGTTAGTTATGGGATGAAATTTGTGTTTTCATTTATTTTTTATCTTTTACAGATACGAGGTAAGGGATTAGATTTGCCTTTAGTGGCCAAAGATTATAACCTGCTGAAATGGATTGGGGCCAACGCGTATAGAACATCTCATTATCCCTATGCTGAAGAAATCATGGACTTTGCTGATGAACAAGGAATCATGATTATTGACGAATGCCCAAGTGTCGATACAGAGTAAGTTTATAATTTGTTCTACATACAGTCAACTAGTTTCTTCCATGCTCAATTTGACTGAAGTTTATTTTTAGCCTGAGACCTTGCTACTTTCAATGGCTCTATTCCTTTAACTCTTATTATTCAATGAATTTCTTTTATCAGCCTTCGAAAAACAGCAAGCAAACTGAAAGTTATATCAGTCTGCTGGTAGGTCAGTGTTTTCTTTAAGATACTCAACAGAGACATAACTACTTCTTGTGTTTGCCTGCCATGGAGTTTCAAAAAGGCCTTCAAACAAAGAGTTGGGAACTACAAGCAGATTGATGATCTGATTAATAGGTTCCTGCACAGGACACAATAGGTTGACACTGTTTTGTTTCAATCCCCTCTTGAATTTGAATTCCATGACATTTAATGGAAAATAGATACCGATGAATTTATTACTGCAACATTTTTAACAGAACAATATAAATGGGAAGCATGGTTTGTAGGTGCTGGTGCCAGCAGAGCTAAGAAACAGAGGGATGATTCATGATCAGTGTTGTTATACGATTTATAGTTATGAATAAGGTTATAATTTTGATGCTCAATTGGCATAGTTTCAACTTTGAGGACAGACATCACTGAATACCATTAGATTATCCTTTTAGTTTCTTAGTGCTACAAATTTTCTTACTGAGGTTGAGAAAAATATTTATTGTAATATACGCCATTAATTATAAATAAACAAACCTTTCATTACTAATTTTATAATATTTGCTTCATCCCAGAATAATTATAGATATCATAGTTTAACTATGATAGATACCAACAGTTTAACTCGAACCACATTATCATTGTATTTCCTGATTCATTAATAAATGTAATAATTAATTATTTGTTATAGCAAATTTTCATCAGTTCTTCTTAAAAAGCACAAAGACTCTCTCACAGAACTAATCCAGCGAGATAAGAACAGGCCATCTGTTATCATGTGGAGTGTTGCTAATGAACCCAGAACTCAGTACCCAGCTTCTTCTGATTATTTCAGGTTACTTATCATTCAACTCAGTATTTTTTGTTTTATAGTATGGTAATTTGAAGTTAATGTCTAAAGTATGGTATGGTCTTTCTCATAAAAAATGTTGTTTCTGAAATTAGCATTCCTGACATCTTTTACTCATTAGTTATCCTTTAAAATACAATTTTCTGACAGAAGTTACACATTATTTTAGTGATTTAACAATCATTGAGATATTTATAACATCATTAAGGATATGAAGTGAGAACAACTTATATTACATACAAGCCATGGTTGTCTTGGGTTGAGTACTTTATAAGAAAGTATAATATAAGTATACCGGGATTCAATCCACATCTTGTGAAACAGAATAAAAAAATACCTGACATTCCGGGATAAACACCTTTCTTCCAGAATTGAGAACAAAAACTTCATTAAATAAGTTATAACTTTTATTCTAATCTTGAATTTACATCATTCTATAGTATCATAAAATTATAGTTTTCACACAATAAGTTTATTTTTTGATACTAGACAGTTTATTCGTTATTTTATTTTTAGATGTCATTATCAATCACAGTTTTGTTAAAAATTAAAATTTAACATTAATAAAAGTATGAATACTTTATCAACCTTAGCATTATTTTTGAAGACAAGATCTTTTTCAAAAATCAAACGTACAAGTCAATATCTATTCGATAATATTCTGTTTTACTTCTCATCACATATTTTTGAAAAAGAAAAATAGAGGCCTTATGTAAAATCTATACAGTTTGGTATTATCATGTGTTGAGCAGTTATTAGTCAGTATTTAAATACCACAATTCAATTTGAAATTTAAATTATAATTAACACTAATATTTTTTTTTACCATGAGAATAATGACCATGCTGTAAAATAGACATTAACCAGCTCTTCAAATTGTTAATGATGGAATTTCAATTTTAAGTTAATATGGGCTAATATAGGGGGTAAATTTTAGATCAATTGTCAACCATGTTAAAACATTGGATACTAAGAGACCTGTTACAGCCGCTCTCAACAAATGGTACTCGGTCGATCAAGCGGTGAGTTGCTAAACAATATTGTTGACTCATCCGAGTAATCAATAAGATCCATCTTCATTTATTCTTCTATATGTTTCTCGCATGTAACTTTTGACTAAATACTTGCTACAATACTCTAGTGCTGTCATATTTTCTTAGTTGTTGCTTTTGTTCCTATGTTGAGTCATAGCAGTAATAATCACTCATGTTACGTTTCATGTATTTCTCTAAGAAAAATTGTATTTATATCAAATTTTTCGCACTAGGATTTATGGGATCATCTTCTTATCATACTTTTTCTTGATTCAATCTTATTGTGAAGAATTTATATTTTTCAGAGACCACCATTTCAATATCATTCCTGATAATAATTATTTATAAATTTAAATGTTTCATAAATGAGAATTATTTTACATTTAAGGATAAATATATTTAGTAAGTACACAAATAAAATCTCAAACCATTAAAATCATTTTCAAATCAAAATAAAATTCCTTGCTCATTGAAAACATCATAAATTAGTATAAATTTAGATTTTAGCAAGCAATTAATATAGCTAGATCAACTAGACAAATCATCCAACAGAATAAAAATTAGTCATAGATACTGATACTTTATGCTTGCAATTTATCGAACTATAGAACATATTCTGGTGCTTTACAAAACAAAAGTATGTACATTACTTTCTAAGCATTGAAACTCTACAACTGAATGTAAAAATAATTATTCATAAGTAGTTAAAGGCTTTAATTTTTTTTAACTCAATATGATTGAGTCAAAAAAAGAAAACAGATTAAATCTGGAGTGAACCGATTTCTGTCTGCGAAGGGCCAAAAGAGAAGCATTCTAATATAAAAAGTCCTAAAAATGATTTCAAACTAATGGCTAATGTATTTTATCTTATATAATATGGTGTATAAAAAAAATGACCGTCTTTCAACCAAATATCTGTATTATTATTTCTTTAATATAAAATACATTTAATACTTAAAGTATAGTCTATTGTTATCTACCATCATTAGCCATCTGCTAGCCTACTGCTCGATATCACGCTGATACCATTCTTTGGGATGGCTGTCAAAGAACTCTTTGACCGCAATTTCAACTTCCGCAAAATTATCAAATTTTTTCCCTTGAAGAAAATGGGCCATGGATCTAAATAAGTAGTAATCCAATGGTACAAGGTCTGGACTACATGGTGGATGAGGCAGGAGTCACATATCAGAAGATTTTTTTAATAAATTTTCACAAATTTCTAATCCCTTAGCCGATTGCTGAGGAGTAGGTTCGTGACAGACCAGTCTACTGCTCTTTTTCACCTTCCCCATGGAGAGTAGATAGCGACTAACAGAATCGTTCGACACGATACACTCCCTGACAAATACACTCATGAACGGATTTGACTCAACAGCTTCCTACAGAAACTCGTCAATATCCCTTAACTGTAACCCAGAGCCCTTCTTCCTTTGCAATGTCATATCTCCATCGCTAAATTTTTCAAACCAACACCACACAGTACGCTGATCAAGGATATCTTCCCCTTCATATTTAGTAATTTCATAAATTCCTTCAGAGGCTGTGAAATTTGTTTTTCAATAATGCCTTAAAATTATGGAAATTGTAGGAGACTGTCATGTTTTTTCCTTAAAACTAAAAACTAAACTAAGGCTTTTTTTGAAGAAGTAAAATGGGATTAAACAAGCTCAGAAAATTTTCTAAAGAGATTATTAATTATTGGTAAGTACTAAATAGGATTAAAATATTTACAGTCTTTGAAATCTTGAATTTGATAAAATGGTCATTGTTTTTTATACAACCTATTATTTAATAAAAATTCTATTATTTTCATTTATATGTAAAATACCAGTTGATACCTAAAGATTTCTCGATTTTAATCAATTACAAAACAGTTTCTTGTTATAGTTGTAATGATAAATGATTAAAATATTAATAGAAACTTAAGAAAGGCTAATTCCCTTTTAAAATTTCATATGTCTCCCTGTAATACAGTAAGTTCACTATAGTTAACATTATTTTTCAGCTAATATGAATGATAAAGAATTATTCGAATGATCAGTAAAGGTTTTTTTTTTAAATCTAAGATTCCCAAAATAATGCACAATTAACTGAATGATACAGCTGGAAAATCTGTATAGCATGAAACTCTAACAATTTTTTTTTTAATTTAATAAATAAAAGTTTTTCTAAATTTATTTTTACCAATAAGTCTCAGGTCCATGAAATAAAATAGATAACATAAAATTTGATTCAGGTTTAACTTATTTTTCAATACTTAACATCATCAAATTTCAAATTGTATTGAATAGAAAAACTTTTTGATAATTATTATACATCAGTGAATAAACATATTTCTGATTAAATAGCTATTTTTAAAAATAACTCAGTTAATATCGAAAATATATATCACCTATTTAACATTAAATATTTTTATAGCGAATGAAAACAATTTCACTGTTTTTATATTGCATCAAATGAGCTTTTGAGTTGAATCTTTAAGCTTTGCTACCATATATATTTTTTCCAGGGCCTGGGGGTGAGGGTGGGAGATTAATACCAGACTTAAAAGCCCCTCTCGGTACTGGGACGCGAACTCGTAACTATTTTATCATTCATAACTTTGGTTATCAGGTTGCTGGGCAATGCGCAGTGTTGTGCATATGCGTTAGTCTGCTCAGGCACCTGATCCCCTACTTTGATACTATCGGCTGTTTTCTGGGGTGAAATAAAGCTTTTATTTACTTAAATATAATTTATTAGAAGGTGTCTATGCTCATGTGATACACTCTTTCTCCCTGTGTGCACACCTGTGGTAATAATCATCATTTATCTAACACCAAACATATCACAGTTTGTACAATCCGATATAATTGAAATCATATCGGAAACTCTTTCAAGAGATTATTCATCACTAAACAACATATTTAAGTGAAATAGCTTGAAATTTATTTCAAAAACATGTTATTATTAAACAATTTACAATATTTATCATACACAAATGGCCAAAAGCATTGCCATGTTCTTCAATTGTTATGTTTGTTTTAGTATTTAACATGTTATTGCGAATTCATTTTCAATAATAAACAATTTTTAAAAAAATTAATCAGGTATTACTTTAACCATCCCAGTAAAGATTAATGTTCATATTTTTAAGATTTTTCAATATAAATTCACATTTTATGTCAAATAAATGTTGAGTGATATCCCTGTAGACAGTTGACCACTCCTTCCAACATAAAGTAGGGTTTAATATAGGTCATGAAATGCCCAATGAAACTTTTGAAAATCAGTAGAAACCTTTATTTTCTTATCAGATCTGTGGTGAATCATGTGAAAAACCTAGATTACCGTCCTGTGACTTCGGCCATTGCGCAAGCACCAGGCTATGAGTATGCTGTGAGTAAATGGAATTTCTAAGAACTTAGCCTAATTTGCATGCTTAATAACACTTTTCAAGCATATAACATTTTCAAAGCAGCTATTTTGCTTTAAACTCTTGCACAGCGTAATCAAATGTAAATAAACTAACATTCATAGATGTGTATGTTTCTATTCTTCAGAAAACTATAACAATAATCACTAAATTATGTTTTATTTATTTTATGTGTTTCTTTTAAAACTAAAAACTCACAACCAAAAATGTTATATGTATACTTTTGTCTCATACAATATGCATGTACCTTTGGAATACCCTTTTATTTACTAAATAAAATAGAATAAATTATTATAGTTAGTAATTAATTGATTTAATATTTTTATACTAAGTTTATTAACAACTGTTGTTTTTATAATAAATACAAAATAATTTTTTCTAATAAAATACTAATAATAGATATTGTCGGCACTATGTGTAAGCCTGCCCTATGTTGCAAATCATTACTTTAAGATGGTGCTGATAATATAAGTAAAAGGAAAAGGAAAAAATATTTCTTCATATAAATATATTTGATGCTAAGCTTTTCCAAACCCAAATTGTATCAATGTTTCAATTAAACTTAATTTTTATCATAATTATTGTATGTTTTATTATTCCCAATAAGAGGTGGATAAGTTCACTATTATATAGTGGTACGAATTAATTATTTCTTCAGAATAGTTGGAGGATGGCGATGGATTTATAATTTATTTGGAATAATTCCATTGCTCCAGGAAAGATGTTGACCAAAGAGAACCTTAAAGATTGATTATTAATTAGTGTGGAAAATGCATAGGCAAAGAATGTTGGTTTTATGCTGCAAATATTTTCATCCTTCCTCATTAAAGTAAAATAAATATGAAGGCTCTACCAACCTTCCAGTTTATAGAGCTAGAAATTATTTCTGGAGAAATATTCATTTATTGCTTCTCTATATCCTGTATGGTTTTTAAATATATTTTCACTTCGAAAATCAGTTACTATCGAGGAGAAGACTGATCAAGGTAACTCAAAATAACTCATCAAAATTAGGAATATCATGCTAACCAGGGCCCCAAGATGTATTATGACACAATTGTTTAATATATTTATCTTTACGAGGACTTGGTGGCTGAGCGAGATCCCAGATTGTCAGGTTCAGAACATAGTGTGTTTAATACCCCACCTGGATCACTTAATATTTATTTCTCAGTTGCTTTAATAAATAAACCATACCCTCCCTCCTCCCTCACTCTGATTAATACACGACCTAGTCAGAGGTTGAAAAAAAGGACCATTAGGTCCACTTCCCAATCCTTTCCTCCCCACCGGTACAAGTAATAGCTTGAATTTCAAAATTCTATTTCATGAAGAGAAGGATGGTTGGGATGATCAGTCTTAATAAAAATGGCAAAAATAAATAATAATCTTTATTTTAACTTTTGTCAACGAAGTTCAGCCCTGATGAAGGCCTGAACTTCGGGTCAAAACGTCGACAAATATTAAAATAAATATTATTATTTATTTTTGCCATTTTTATTATGACTGATCTCCTGAACCATCCTTCTCTTCATCATTCACTACAATCGACCATCAACCCACAATTAAAAATTCTACTTCAGTTCGGCTAATTTTTTAAAAAATATGATATATTTCATATTCATAAATGAACTCTGATAGAAACTAATAAATATAATAATATACTAATAAATATAATACAGAAAATAAATATAAAGTTATAATTTGAGAAAATTATTTGAATATGTTTTTGTGATACGACATTCATAAATTTTAGGTTTTAGAAGATTTAATTATAACTTCTTTAAACAGTAATTTATTAGCTTGTAATAGATATTTTTTCTATATTTATAGCAGTTACTTAACTCTAAAACAAAAATTTGTAAACTGTATTGAATAATTAGTTGTTTTTTTTTAACCCAGAAAAAAACTATAAAACACATTATTATATGCAATTTTTTCAGGGACAATTCATGGACATTATTGGTTTTAATCGTTACAACGCTTGGTACACTGAGCCTGGAAAAACAGAAGTCATACAATTGAACATTGAATCAGAAGCAGAACAATGGCACAAGAAACATAATAAGCCAGTGATAATAATGGAATATGGTGCTGATACAATGCCAGGACTTCATCTGGTACAGTTCTTTTCATATTAAAATTAATTTATTCATAGAACTTTATTAATCAATTTATCTATTAAACTTTTATTCAATAATTTGATTTGGCATGTCAGAAGGGTTTGATACGACTGTTTTATTAAACATAAAAAATGTTTACTAATTAGGTGTAACAAAAAAAATATATTTGTGCCATAATTCAATACAAAACATATAACATAACATAAAATGCGGGTTTTACAAGAGATATTAATAAATTATAAGTAAATTAAATGCCATATAGTCAGGCCCGATGAGAGAGGAGAGGGGCAGCCTGGCTTACAAAGTCTTTTCTTTTTTTATTTCTAAATTTATATTCAAATAAAGTATAGATAATGCAAAATAGGGGTCGGGGTGGCCGAATAGGCTAAAGCATGTGCACAGCACTGCGAGCTGCCTGGCAACCGATAACAAATTTGAGAAGATTATAAAAAGTATGAGTTCGCGTCCCTGTGCCGTAGGGGATTTTAAATTCCCTGCTCTCATCCCCCGGCCTGGAAAATCCCATATAGCCTAAAAGGCGAGGTAGGGAAGAACAGGAAAAAAAAAAAAAAGGTAATGCAAAATAGAGGGCCGAAAATAGAGGGTGGCCGAGAACCTGTGCACAACACTTGCCGCGTGTTGCCGGCAGCCCCGCCTCTCTATTTTGCATTATCTATACTTTATTTCAATATATACTTTATACCCAAAGTTATAAATGAAAAATACCTTATACCGCTTGGCCACTCTGCCTCTGATATTATACATGTATTTAGGTGTAAGATCTTGCATGATTGTTTTATAATATATGTTGCATTATATATATTTGTTTTTGTTTTTTTTTGGGTCCTTCCCTTTCTCGCCTTTAAGGCTGTATGGGCCAGAGGGTGTGTGCGAGGATTTAAAAGACTCCCTCGGCACTGGGAACTCGTGATTATTTTAAATCCATTGTCTCATATATCAGGTTGCCAGGTAACGGCGGTGCTGTGCACACACATTAGCCCGTTCAGCCACCCCGCCCACTAAAATGAAAAATAGTTGCGAGTTCGAGCCCCAGTGCTGGAGGCGTGGGGGAATTTAACTCTGGCATTAATTCCCCACCCTCACTCCCTGGCCTGGGAAAAGCCCATACGACCTAAAAGACAAGGAAGGGGAGAATAGAAAAAAAAAAAAAAAAAAATATATATATATATATATATATATATATATATATATATAAAACGCAACATATATTATAAAATAATCATGCAAGATCTTGCACCTAAATACATACATAATATCAGAGGCAAAGTGTCCGAACGGGCTCATGCATGTGCGCACCAAAGCACGTTGCCCGGCGACGTGTGATAACCAAGAAACAGACAACAAAATAATTACAAGTTAGCGTCCCGGTGCCGGTGGGATCTTTTAACTCTGGCATTGATCCACCGCCATCATCCCCTGGTCCAGAAAAACTTCCATATAGCCTAAAAGGCAAGGAAAGGGAGAAAAAAAAACTAAGGTGTGTGCTTTATACCATACGATAGAAGCCAAAACAGCAGCAAGGCAAGAATTATAATAAGAAATATAAATTATAAATAATTGTTCATTACAAAGAGGGTCAAATGCTGAACATTTCTCTTGATTACAGTATGCAGGTCTGATTTATAGCTTCTGAGATATTTGAATCCATATCTTGCATAAAACTCTTTAATTTGGGTATGCGGTAATAAAGTTATTTTATCACATCTTTCCAGGTGATATTGGTAATAAATTTTCTACATCAAAACAGTCCAAACAATATTCACCTATTGTCTATTTTATTTATTCTTTCAAGCATTTGATGAGCCTCTATTGAATTTTTTACATCATTGCTACTATCTGATCTTCAGTAATTGAGTGAAGAATTGAAATATTATCTGGTTTTAGTTTATTGAGTGTGGAATTGAGATATTTAGCCAAATTTTTCAATTTCGTCATTGATATTGCTGATGATAGGACTAAGTGGAGCTCTACTCTATGTAACTTTACTAATTCCTGTATTTTAGGAGTATTTTAGTTAGAGTTAATTAGTTATATTTCGTTTAATAAGAAATTTTTAAAATTAATAACGAAGTTCTATTGCATAAAATATAGATATCAAAGCAAGGTCAATCTAAAAATGTCCTTAATGATTTATAATTTACTTCTTTAAATTAGTGATATTTTCTAGTTTATATTGTATCGATGACTATAATATTTATCTGAAAATCTCCAGTTGGAAGGTTATATTAATGTTATATTATTATATATTTTCCATTATGCCTAAGAATTTCTACTATTATTATCATTTATATTATTTTTCTACTTATTTTTTATATATTGTTAATAATTTTGTCAAAATAAAATTTCAATGTTGTAATAATATTAGCGTTTATACTCTATATCAGCATAAACTTATCATTTGGTTTTGGACACAATTTTTTTCCCTCTCCTACTCTCTAATACGATATTGGGTTATGATACAATTTTGAATAATAGCTCATTAGAAAGAAGATAAAATGATGAACATTTCCCTTCCTTACAGTATACAGGTCCGATTTTTAGTATCTTCTTCTTCATTATCCTCCTTAGTGCCTCTCAGCATGGAGGGAATTTTTAGTATATGAAATATTTTAACCCATATATTCAACTAACCTCGTTATCATTTTGTTTTCGACACTATTTTTCCTTTTTGCCTCCCTAACACGGCATCGCGTTAAGATTCAATTTTGAATTATAGCTCATTACAGATGAGATGAGTAACAATTTCCTTGCATACAGTATGTAGGCCCGATTTTTAGCTTCTGAGATATTTTAAACGATATATAAAAACATTTCAATTAGTCGATTACAGCCGGCTTTACCTGAGCGAATCTGACGGATCAATCTAATTCACTCTCCACAAAAAATTGCAAAATGAGGCTGAAGAAATTTTCACTTCAAAAAACAAAGAAAAAAAAATAATAATATTTTTGTTTCATACATTATAAAAGACAAAGTTTGATCTTAGCGGTTGATTTCATATTTAATGGATGCCCAGAATAATTATCCCTGAAACTTCAGGTTTCCGTCGATGGCTTTGCATATAGTGTTGTATTTTTATGAATATGTGAAAGCAAAGACAGCCTTTTTTGAGCAAATTAACTCACAATTAGAGAAATTGGCCTTAGCTTACCAAGATTAGGTGGTATACCAAAGGCCTATTAGAACATTGTACATTTAAGCCACAAAAAAAAAAATTAAAACATAAAATAAATTATTATATTCGACTAATACAATTACTTACTATTGTGAAAATGGTTTGAAACTTTTTTTTAGATGCCCGAGTACATATGGTCTGAGGAATATCAAATAGAATTGCTTTCGGAACATTTCAAAGCATTTGATATACTTAGAAATAAAAGTTTTTTCATTGGTGAAATGATTTGGAACTTTGCAGACTTCAAGACTGATCAATGTAAGTTCTATAATTTTTTATAATATTTTAGAATAACAATAACAACTTATTAATTAAAAGGCTTTCAGTTATAAAACATAAACATTTATATTTTTCTTTTTATTAACGATTAAATAGAAGCCTGTATGTAGAAAGTTGAAACTACTGTGCATTTTATGCTGTTTATCATGTTTTTTGTATGAACCGAATATATTTAAAAACAAAGGAGATGCAGAATTAAACACAAACCTTTGTTGTTACACAAATCCTTTGCTAAACACAATACACATACCAATCAGAACAATAAAATGAACATATAAAAAATTAATGAATACCTATTCTCAATTATCTGAATTAAGGACAATAGGTAACAAAATAAAAAAATAAATTCTGTCAATAAGCACTTCAAATTAAATTGGTTGATTTGATATAGATTGACCCAAATAATGTTAATTTATAATGACAGCAGTAAGAATAATTTTTTTAATTCATTTTCCGGTATATATCAAAAAGTTAAGATTTGGCTGTAATGAATTTTTGGAATATAAAACATAAATTATAGCAACACACATCCATTAACAATTAATAAATAATTAAGGTAATAATACAATGGTAAATTAAAAAGATATATGGAAAATAAAATATAACTCAATATTCACTCGACTGAGACAGTCGATATGAATTTTTATAAGATACAAATCTTTTACCTAAAAATAAATGACAAGTTTAAAGACAAATCTTTTTTTTTTTTCTCTTCCTTCTTAAATTTTTAATATCAAGACATATTAAACCTAACAATTTATTTGTATGAAATAATGTTGAATTAAATCAATAAATTAAAAATTCATAAGATCATTAAAATAATGAAATATGGGTTTTTACTAAAATATTATACCTATTTCCAAACAGCTACTACTCGAGTCGGAGGCAATAAGAAAGGCATCTTCACAAGAAACCGCCAACCTAAATCAGCAGCTCGTCATGTGAGAAAGAGATACATGCAGCTTGCACAAGAATTAGATAGCTTTGATATACCAGAAGACATTGATAAATATACTGCCTCTGTTGTGTCTCCCCAGTCAAATCGTATTGATCTTTAAATATCATATTTATTTTAATTAATCACCCAGTAAGTTCCTTTAGAGGGACCATGTGACGATCTTTTGTGTGAAAATATGTTGTTTGTAAATATTATTGTGAAAACTTAGAGCATTTACTTAGAGTGGATGTTATAACATTTGTTTTTATATTAAAACGATTGTAAAAAGTTTGGTATGTTTTTATTTTTGCCCTATTCACAATTACATTTGGAAAATTCATCCCTGTTGGATACAACTGATGAAAGTCAAGACTGTGACTAGAATGAAGCAAAGGAGACACAGAATTTTAAAGCGCAGATAACTTCGAGCGAAAGTGTATTTGTATGTCAATTCAAATATTTATTTCTTCTTTATGTTTTTTTTTTTGTTTTGTTTTTTTTTTCCTTTTTTATTCGCTGAAATTAGTTAATGTTATAAGATATTTATTTGGAGATATATTTCTTAAAATACCATGATAAAAGTGTTGAAGTTTAGAGATGAAAGAAGAGGAAAACTTAAACTTGCCTCTGAGCAGAAGTCTTAGTTTTGACTCTGATAAATGATTTTTTCAAAATAAATAAGTAAACTAATAAGGTAATGTAAGTCTGAGCCCATTACAGCTATAAACTTTTAAAGGGTATAATACAAACACAGAAATATGTATAACTATAATAATCATGAAAATACAATTAATCATTTCACAAAAAGGATCATTTTGAATATTTTAATGATCTGGTGGACTTATTTCTTGAAGTACCTACCTTATTTAAGTAGGTGTATCTGCATTCACCATCAACATAGGAATATTCCATGCAATTCTTTTCTCCATCTAAAAATATTATGCTTACAGTTTATTTCCGGTTCATTGAACAACTTTACAGAATTGCATGTTCACTTCATTATAGTGCATAATTCATATTTATATAAAACAAATCCTAGATAAAAATAAAACTTACCTGATCACTTACATATCAATGTTCTTATTTCACTACACTGGGAAGTTATGGACTAAGGATATACCGCACTATATTTTGAAAGAAAAGCAATAAATGTCAGTTAATGTGGCTATATGGCAAAAGATACTCAACAGTAACAAACTAACTTAAGAGAATAAAATGTTAACTGGCGTCTTCTCTTATTTTGGGCGGGTAATTATTAACCAATTTACATATTCGATTCATGATTATATATCTTTGTAAAGCTTAAGTGTGGCGCCATAATTTTGCAATCCGTAAATAAAAAACAAATGGATGTTTTTCTGATTCTTCATGATGGAAGTTGTTGGCAAAATTTGATGCCCCCCTTATCTTAGAAACGAGTCATCAGGTCACTTTATTTCAGAGAAATTTCTTCACATAATTTATCTGTTTCTGTTTATTCCTTATTATACTACACAATTACTGTTATTTCTATTATTTTTTGAATTTGTAGAAAAAAGTAGAAATTTGTCTATTTGCATCAGGACCGGAACTAGTCGCACCTAGTTCTGGTCCTGATGCCCTTGTTGATCCGACGGCAGAATTTAGGGGGTTGTACATTTTGAAGATTTTATATTTTTAGGTCAAGTAAAAAATATTTGTTTCTTTTTTGTTTTATTGTTCTGAACTTAATTCAGTCAATAAAATGATACACCCGGTCAAGGTAACCTCAATTTACCAAGTTGATATTTTTTTAGTATTTTCTTTACTAGAAATATTTCTGTGGATTTAAAAAGTAGTAGAAACAACAGTAATTGTGTAGAATAGTAAGGAAGAAATAGAACAGATATATTATTATGTGAGAAAATCTCTCGAAAATAAAGTGAAATGAAGACTCGTTTTTAAGATAACCGGGGCAGCAAATTTTCCAACTTCCGTCTTGAAGATGCGGAAATCCATCAGGCCTTTCCTAAACTCATCTGTGTAACAGTGAGCAAGTTCTTAAGTCCAGTGCTAAGATTATTTATGAGCATCGGAAATTCGTCAATGGATTAACGCTGAGTTTAGGAACTTGATGCTGGCGTACTGGCACACTACAACGTTAAGGATTCTGCACTTAAAATGTGATACATGTTATGCAGCAGTGCGATGGACAGTGGGACAAAAGATGAGTTTTCGTGGACATGGATATAACACTTGTATATGTCATCGGATTAACTTGATATTTATAACCATTATCTTTTCAAGGCCAAGGAACATAAATATGACGTCAACATTGGAAAATTTCCACGAAAACATAGAAAATTTTGGTTTCTTTGTTTAACCCTAGGAATTTTAAATTTGGCAATAAATTAACTTCGAATATGATAAAGGTGTCTTAAAATGAATAATTTTATGCCCCTACTTATAAATACTGTCTATATTACTGCATATAATCGTTATTAAAAGAAATTATGATGTAATAACTAAAAAAAATGTACAGTACAAATGTATCGTTTATAAATATTCATTTTACAATAGTTGTTATGGAACAATACATTTTTTTTTATTACAATAAAATTTTAAATACCATCGAATATTATATGACTTCCTCATATTCTCTGATGAAAAAAAAAAACATATTTTTTCCATTAATTTTAAAGATTATATTAAGAATGACTGACACAGATCAAGTCATAATGGTTCACCAAATACTCTCAGATTCAATTTACCCTTATGACATTAAAAACTATAAGTGATTGAGATTGGAAATATAATATTGTATTACTAACAAACAGTAACATCAGTAGAACAGGCAAAAAAAATTTTTTTTTTTCCTTGAGACCGTCTTTTTCGACCACTATCGGACCCTGCCAGAAGTTAGGGGAGTGCCCTTCCTCGTGGATGGTAAAAAAAGTTCCAAGAAGCAGCTATTAAAAGACAAGAGAAATATATAAAGAATACATCCTCAAAGAGGACATCTCTAATGTGACATACAAAAATTATTATCGTGACCTGCACCAGTAGAACAGGACGGGAAGTGTGTGGGACAAAATCCCACATTTTCGCAATGAATTTTCCGTTTCAATCCTCAAAATACTGGCCTAATATTCTTTAAATCAACCGCCATTTTTAAACGTAGCATGATCCGACTGGCAGACTCTCATTTTTTAAATATAAATGTTATAAACATTTTTTAAAAAGTGCTTTCCAAATATTCTTAAGATAATACCGATTTTTCTGCATTGGCTCTCGGACTGTTTTAAGTTTTTTTTTTGTTTTTTTTTTCCTCCCCTTTCTTGCCTTTAAGACTATACGGGGTTTTCCTGGGCCAGAGGGTGAGGGCGAGGATTAAAAGACTCCCCTGGCACCGGGACGCGAACTCGTGACTATTTTTATCAATTAATCATATATCAGGTTGCCGGGCAACGGCGGTGCTGTGCAAACGCTTTAGCCTATTCGGCCACCCCGCCCTGGACTGTTTTAAGTTATGTTTCCACTCCAATTTTTTTAAAGTTTCCCTTCTACGAGCTCTGATTTTTCCCTCGTTCAAAATCTTAAAATTCTTTTTTTCCCCTCTCACCAAATATATATAATATAGAAAATAAAAGTAATTTATTAACGTTTTTTATGTAGGCGTTTACATTTCATTTAATTAGTTGAGTTATTCAATGATTGGTTGACCGGCTTACTACTTAGCAATATGGTTGTATAGGAATTACCGATATGCAGTATCGGCTCCAGTATTTAATTTAATAATCCCACAAAAATTGAGAAATCCACGTCGGAATGAATCATAATCCTTGGATATGCAGATAATATAGCTTTCCTCGGAATTAATTAATAGAACATTAAGAAACCCGCTAAGATTTTGAAGAAGAGAAGCAGAGCAACTCGGCCTAGAAGTAAATGAAGACAAAACAATATATGATATAATAATAACTCGAAAATTCCACCCCAATAACAGGATCTGCCTAAAAGAGAAATCGTTCTCGAGAGTAAAAAAATTCAAACACCTAGATTTTTCAATATTCATAATGTACGAACAACGGTCGGAAATAGACCAGCGTATAAAAACAAGCAAAGCTTTCTTCTCCCTTCCAAAGGTATTGATATCCAAAGAAATCTCAAATTAAGGGTGCATAATGCTATGATAAAGCCAATTCTAATAAATGGCTATTAGATCTTGGCACTAACCAGCACCGTGAAAAGAAGTATTGAAAGATTTGAGAGGAAAATCCTCCGCGCGGTAACCGGAGCAATCTAAGATCAAAGGACTAATACATTGAGAAGAAAGACCAATCAAGGAAGTACTTCCATATTGCCAAGGAGCTAACGACCGGAAGATAGCTATCGTTACTAATTCTAAGGCTATCCGACAGACACTACCAACCAGAGCCAAAACACTTAGCTGAATAGCTGAAATTTTGAACAATGTCTTGAAACTGAAGAAAAGGCTCTGATGTAGCTTTCATTTGGACTCCATCTCATCGTGGGATTAAAGGGAAAGAAAAATCAGACATCGCTTCTCACAGCCCACATTGCCAACAGCAGTGAAATAAAAATCCAAAATTGTCTCCCTCGGAAAGAATCAGTAAGGAAGTTTAAATTGTTGCTGGAGGACCAGTGGAACGAGGAGCTGGATGGAGGAGCTGCCCCACGATACTACTCCAGATAAAAGGAAGCAGCTCAAAATGGAGCAAGCTGCAGAGGAACAAGGCGGGAGGAAATATTTTGCCGCCTCAGGATCGACCGTTGCGAATTCTCTCATGAATATCTTCTCCGCGGTCTGGAAGCCATGCCTATGTCGAGTGTAGTGCTCCTAGAATAGCTGTCCACTTACTGGTTGAATACCAGCAGCATGCACCAATAAGAAAACAACTAAAGTTGAGTAACAATGTACGAGAAATCCTAGAAGACACGGAAACTGGTATCAAATCTACTGTGGAATTCTTAAAGGAAATCAAGTTTTACCACCGACTATAGAAATATAAGAAATGTCTATAGAAAATTAAGAAAAGAGAGGCATTACCACAATAAAAAAAATTTAATATTTCTATCATTTTTGTGCTAACTATCTAAATGTTCTTTAAAAATACCAGCTAGTTAAATTACCTACGGCAAGCAAATGTAAGAACATCTCTAGCTTTGTCGTATAAATTATCATACTGTTTAACCTAAAGATTGATAATAAACAATTTTTTTTTTTTTATTGAAAAATATTACAATCTGTCTCAAGGACATTTATAATAGTGTTCACTGATCACATTCACACTCTATGTACAG